ACTTGGGGAGGCCAGTGGCAAAAGCCTGGGGAGGCAAGTTTTTCCACTTGGCAACTGCAAGCCCGCATCCCTGGACCAGCAAAATCGGATATCCTTCCCACGCCTTCAGAGGGGTGGGAGGACAAAGCCGACCGGACACCGCTCCTGCCAACCATGAAGGCACCGACACTAGGATGTGCACAAACAGACATTGAACACCATCGAGGAGGGTCCCAGTAAATAAGCCCCTGTGTGCTGGTGGTGCAATGGTTGTCAGACTATTTCTAACTGCTGTGGCAGTGGGGGAAATGATTCTGAGTAACTGTGGGATATCAGTTTCTAAAATTAAGAGTCCTCAGACAACACAATACAGGGAAGCTGTATCATTTTGTTGAATAAAGCCTGAAAGTTTAATAGTGGAGAACTTGAATGGCAAGATTTAAGCAAGCCTTAGCTTGTGCTTGATAAATAAGCATGCTGTACCCAAAGCAAAAACATGCAAAACTTTTCAGAGTTGCAACAAGATGGCTGGGGTGATAGGAGCACACGATTACCCTTCTGCTCACCCAAGCTTCAGAGTGAAAGGGGCTTGGTGTGTTCCCTAAAATGTCTTGTAATAAGCATGTCACAAAGCTGACCCCAAGCTGACCAGGTCCATGTGAAAATCACCATCTCAATTTCAAAAGGAGTCACAGCTCCGAGAGTCTGGAAAGCATCACCAAAGGGAAAAGGTCCAGCTGCCTAATACCTCTTGTGAGCAGCTACTAAGGCCCTTGTCTTCTGTAAAATTCTGGGCCCACATGCTCTAAATATAGAACAAACATTAATAAAGCACAAGCCACTTTTTTCCCTCCTGTCTTTCACACCATTAAGGTTCTAGCCTTGAGGGCTCATAGGTAAGCATCCAAAGGTGAAAAGGAGACTAACAGATAACTATCTGCAGCCAGGGTGGAGAACAAGGCTGCGGAAACACCACCACCACCCACTTCCATGCCACAGAGACAACTTCTGCACTCCATGGCAATGCCCTCAGCAGTAATGAAAATGTCCCCCCCGTAAGTCATAGCAGGAGCGAAGGGCAGACGAAACGTGAGTCATCCAGGTGTATGGCAGACTGGGGAATGTGGGTGTGTTACCCTGTGGCTCCATGCCAATGTGACCTCAATTAAATTTCAGTGAATGATGGGCCTTCCCCTCTTTTATGTACACATTCTCTTTTTGGTCTCCAAAGATAGATCCACTGAGCCTACACACAGCTATTTAATCCAGGGAGCTCTCCTGGCAAGCACGAACCAACATGCGGCAGTGGTGCTGGCAGCGATGTCCCTCTTCTTCTCCACGTGAGTTTTGCTCACCATACCTTGGATTTACTTACTTCAACTGGCACTCCTACCACATCCAGACCCTTAATAGTAGTTACCTTGTGGTGTAACTACTGGTCTGTCCATCCACTTTTGCAACCTGCTCCTATTTTCCTGCTGCCTTCAAGCACACAACCCAATCGCGTGCAGGAAGGAGGAAAGCCCAGGGAGGAATACAGTTTGTGACTGGGTTAATTTGGAAATTCTTGCACTCAAATGCCATTAAAGCGTTTGCCAGGGACTTCAGTGGAAACAGGCGAGCTCTAATGTCTAGCACACTCCCATAAGAAACCTGTGTAAACTAATTCGGTTGAACCGTTAACACTTGGGGTGATTAACCACAGGAGTCTCTGATCTCCCTATATTAAAGAGAAGAGGAATGAAATTCACTGATTCGTATCAGCTTAATATAAATCTTTGTGAGATTTGCAGTTGACTTCAACAGTGGTAGGATCTGGTAACCTCCACGGGGGAAGAGCAACTCTCTTGCAAATACACCTTCATGTGACAGGGGAAAGCTGAAGGTATTTGTACTGGATTACAATCAACAACTGAGTCTGAAGTGTGCAAACTTCCAGCCCGTGGTGTGCAGCAGACAAGTGCACAGAAGCACTGCAGCTCTGAGAAGATTTTTATTCTGATGCCACTTTGAATACTTGGCACTTGGTAGGCAGGCATGTGTCATCTTGTTTTAAACAGCTCCATCTTCACTGTGAAACATGCTCAAGAGAGATTTGGGCTATGGGTGAGCAGGATTAAGGATGGCTGCAGCTTGACTGCAGAGATCATCCTTTGCTTTTCCATTTGGTAGCTAAAATAATGCTCTGGGGCAGCTCTGGAGGTGCTCACCCCATGTCAGAGGCCACCCCCAATAACCTCAAATGTTGTGTTTAGATGCCACAGCCTGAGCAAAGCAGCACATGAATATAGCTTTAGTAACGCTAAACAAATCTCGTTTTTCAAGACACCCTTACAAGACTGCTTGGTGTTTTACATATGTTTTACCAGATATGTTTTTTGATACATGTGGTGTTCCACTGCATCTGCGTACAATCTTGCACCTAAGTGCAACTCCAGGACACCAGACACAATGAAACAGGTGGCGAACGCAACATGCTAGTTCTACCGAACTTAGCAGAGCACAACTGGTGCAGCTGCTCATTTTGGTATTTCCCCCAGAGACCTCCTTAAGAACAAGGACTGCCTCTCACAAGCTGCAGGCTGTACAGCAAAAATTGAGTGTTGGCTCATGTCCCAAAAGTACAACAGTGGCATTTTGGAAATGGTTAAAGGAACAGCAGCATTTCTTTTTAAATACCAATCTACAGCTGAGCCTGTTTAGGTTTCGAAAGAGAGTCATACATGAGGGCAGCTTGGTTAGGATCAGGAAAAAAAAGAAAAAAAAAAATCAAGTGAGAGAACAAAGCCTTGTTTCAAGAATGCCATTGTTTATGCAACTATAAACCTAGGGTCTATAAAACCACCAAGAAGAAACTGAAGTTGGCTGAAGCAGATAATGCATTACTAAATGCTAGAGTATCTTACAAAATTCTTAAGGTTGCATAAGGACAGAACACTTGAAAAGCAAAAGAAACAAGTTTCTCAGATGAAATCTTCAGATTTCAGTACTTATGGATGTGTTGGGATGTAGACCTTGCACAGATGTAAAAGGTTCTGAATGGCAGCTGTGCTGACAGAGGTGATCCTGCAGCTACCCAAGACTGCTCCAGTGTTACTGAGACGGGACAATGTGCTTCAGGCACACAGTACGTGCCAGTTGCAACGTTGACCCTGGATGTCTCATCCAGAATTCATAGTCAGAGCTACAATGAGGTAAAATTGACCAGTTTAACTGTAAGAAGTTTTCACATAAAAAAGTTTTAGATAAAGGATGACTCATAACTTCAATTTATCTTTAAATACTTGCTATTTGCAAACCAAACAAGACATTCCCTACTCCCCTTGTTACCTATAAACCAAACCAACAAAGATAGCTTTCAGTTGAACAAAGCATGCCTAGGAGATAAGGGGTGAGAAATACTTTCTGCATCATTATGTTACTTTGATGGACTTAGAAATGGCACAGGTCACCACACAAACAACACATCAAAATAGCAAATTTAATAGCATTCCTAACACACATTTGGAAACAAAAAGTTGATATTGACACTCTTGTTTTAACTACTGCAAAAACATTAATGGCTCTTGCCTGTAATTTGTTTTCCATGCTCAGCTTTATTGAATGTTGTACATCCCCAAATTCTTTCTTCTCTTTACAAGGAGCAGTGAGAAGAAACAGGTCCTAATCATCAAGCATTCATGCTGAAATCATCTTATTGCTACACATTTGTGAAGAAACTAGAGCAATGATGTCCCTAAGGACAACTGCAGCAAAAAATGGTAACAACCTGAGGCATGCAGCAGGCTCGCTGCATCCAACTACAGCAGTGAGTGCAACTGGAGGTACACTCGGGACCTTGCAGTGACACATCTTGAATTTACTGTTTGTAGACTCTGCATGCTCAGCCTCCACATGACACATGCAGTGGGATTCCAACAGGAGCTCTGGTTCTTCAGATACCACTGAATAACTGAATTCCCAGCACAGAGCAGGCTTCAAAAAACTCCATGTAATTTATTGTTAAAAGGTGTTTTATGCACAGTCTTTATTCCCTCAGTCAAGTTTATTCTTTGTGACATTAGTCAGTTGATTTTCCTTCATTCACATGAAAGTAGTAAGCCGCAATAGCTTATCTGACAAGCCCAAGAAAACGAAGCTAGAATTTGCACCTTGAAAAGACCACTACAAAAAAAATTCTAGAATTTGTTATGACTATGCAAAGTCTAATGTCCCCAACAGTAGTATTTCCTCTAACAAATACTTCAGACTGAGTTACCTTCAAAAAAAATGGTACATTACAGTTTCATCGCAGAGGTGAGATAAGTAGCAAGTCAATACTCAGAGCAAAAGTTTTCAGTACACCTTTTTCCCTTAAAAAGCTGTTACATCAGCATCCCACTTACACAATCTGATCTTTCAGAGTCTTGAGACTACAAGCTTTCACTGCCACCCCCCCCCCCCTTGGCCCGGGAGACATGTCCCTGCCCCCCCCCCCCCCCTTGGCCTGGGAAACAACCACTTAAATACTTAGTAAGCTTTCTTTGGACAGCCATGCAAAGAAAACTAAAGCAGTCATTCAGATAAAATAGGATAGGTTTATTTAAAACTTATTTTCCACTTGAATATGCAAAATACAAATTCCAACAAACTGTTCATTTTACTTTGTAGTTTACAAATATACAAAATAGAAGTTTGCTTAAACTTATATTACATATTTATTATGTAAAGAACTATATAGAAAACATTTGTTCTGCTTAAGGCATATTTTTGAATAAACCATTGTACAAACTATTGCACATAGAAACCACAGTGCATTACAGACTGTCTGCATAAAGTTATTTTCTTTAAAAAAAGATAAACCAGGTTTATTTACCTGATTTAGGTCATAATCGGTGATCAGAAGACAAAAGTATTTCCTTGTCAGATATGCAGCAGTTTGAGAACTTTGGCTTCTTGGTTTTGGTACCTCTAGAACCAACAGTCACTAAGCACCATGAAATAGGCTTTTAAAATACAATTCTGTACCTGAATTTTTCCTCCTCTTTTAACATCATAATGGCTTTTAGAAGGAAAAAAAGGAAAGTACAAGATGACATTTACATCTAATATTGCATTGAAAGAAAACTAAGGGAATTTCATTTCCCTGTGTAATATCCCCACCCTCCGAACTACACAGTCTGTTTAACCCTGATATCCGTGACTCCCAGTCACTCCTTGGCATTTTGTAGTCCGGAAATAATTCAAGTTGGATTTACAAATGGAATGATAGAAGATCCAGTCACTGACCCCAATGTTTTTGGTTCTCTTTTCTTTTAAATGTATCTATATAAAAAAAAGTTGCAATGTCTGTATGCAATTATCCCTCTTTTCCACTCTTTGAAAGACTTCACCTTGGTTATCTGTAGTGCTTAAACTGTGTTCTCCCCATCTTGCAGAAAACAGTCCTTGTGCTGTAAATACTGAATCTCAACAGCAGCTGGGGAAAGATCCACTGCTTCCAATTAAAAGTGCCTCTTCATGTGTAAGGCAAGGTGGTCCGACCTGGAAAACGCTCTATCACACCGCTGGCACTGGAAAGGGCGGTGGCCTGTGTGTTTTCTGTAGTGACGAGTAAGTTCATCGGATCGGGCAAACTTCCATCCACAGCCCTCCCAGTCACAGTGATAAGGCTTCTCACCTTTAAAAAAATAGACAATAAACCACGTCAGTTAAGGTTTTTATGGCTTCTAACACCTTTCTTTCAAGAAGCACAAACATGCCTTGTTTTGGGTAAGAAAAAGGATGATGTCAAAGAACATGCAATGAACTTCCCGAAGCAGTTGCAAGCAAACTACAAAGACTATCAGAATAAGACTGTCTTTTCAAGATGTACAGGTACTATAAAATGTGGAGTCACTGAAACTTTCACTAAAACATTCATTTCCACTGTTTGTGTTGCACACAAGACTTCAGAGCACACAAGTTCAGATAATGAGTGTATTTTTGCTGGCTAATGTTATATGCTCAAATAGCAACCAGAAATAGCTCAGCAGGCATAATGTATTTAGATAATTGTAGGTCTCAGGAATTAAAATACAGCTGGAAACTGTTTTCATTAGCTCAGTCTGATTAAGAACTCAATCTTACTGTCTTCACTATAACAAAACCACTGTTGACAGCAAGACAACTTTCTTCCCTGACAATTACAAACTCCCAGTCCTACACATACTGGAGACAGTGCTGACCAGCTCAGGGCAGATGGGAAGTGCTGCTCACTTCATCGATTTCTTTTCCTCCACTGCTGTTAGCTGAAGATGTAGCCTAACTCCCGCACTACCAGTAGTTTCTCCCTTTCCCATCTCCTCTTCTGGAGAAAGTTTTGAATCAAGCTCATAATCCAGGAATTTAAATTATGCAAATTCCCAGGTTAGTTAATTACTGTTATGGAATGCCCACTCTGGCGAAACTGTGCACAATGTACCTGCTTTCACAAGCTCAGATACTGCAACACTGCATTCAGGTGCAAGGTTAAAGTTTGAACTACGGCTCAGATACACACTTTGGCAGATTTCATCCAAATTCTAGCAGCAGCTAATCAACCGTTAAACTCTGCCTCTTTGGTGCTAGTGCAGGGGAAGATGTGCTCCCACGCATAGGTGGGGCACCCCGCCAGTGCTACCAACACAGCTGAAAGCACCACTCACAAGGGGCCCATCACAGTTTCCTCAGAAAGGGAACAGCAGCTTGCAGAGGTGCACAATGTCTTTCACTACAGCAAGCCAAGACAAGTGCACATGCAAAGCGTTTAACCATGAGCAAAGAAAGCAGTATCTTAGAGAGAGGTCTGCTCCCTTCTCAGAAGGGAGTTACTCTCCAGAGTAACAAATCTCAGCTGACTTCCAATTACCTACTAATTTGCTAGCCACATAGCAGGAGAGGAGCAACAAACTTTGCCTTGGCAAGAAACCCACCCGCTCCCACATCTGAGTCATTCTGAACCATTAAGCAAAATGCCAAGCTAATAAGCAAAGACTGCACAGGACTTCATGTAGCCAAGAGGGGAGGAAAAAAGCCCAGAAACCCAGCAAAGAAGGGTTATGACTTGCTACTTTTAGCCCCACTTTTCACCGAGGGGCTCAACCCATGCCACTCACACCAGGGCATCCCACTGACCCTGCACTGGGACTAACCTGTGTGGGTTCTCAGATGTGCCTTGAGATGAGAGCTCTTGGTATAGGTTTTGCCACAGCCTGCATAGTCACAGGTGTGTGTGGCTGTCCTCTTCCTAGGCCATGATCGGCGTCCCCTCTTGGGCTTGGTCTCCTCAGGCAGGCAGCTCCCTGGCGGCATCAGCTCTAGAGGCGGACAGGGAGGAGTGAGCAGCACTGTGGCCAATGCCAAAGCAGGTGCCCTAGCGTGCCCAAGGCCGAAGCACAGGGACTCACCTTGGTACTGGAGCGTGCCAGGCGGCAGCTGCTCAGACAGGAAGGTGGAGTAACCAGAGGCTGGGGGGTACCCTGGGGGCAGTGGCAGCGGTGGGTGGCTCAGCCCTGGGGCAGTGGGGAGACAGTCTCTGCCGCTCAGCATCTCCTCAGGCCCCAGCGAAGGTGTAGTCCGGGCAGGCAGTGGGCAGCCCAGGGAGAAGTCATGCTGGGGGGCTCCTCGGGAG